AAGAGTTTTTTATTTACATGATCTTATCTTGATATTGCTTTACTTTTCAAAATGAACTGTGCAAGTAAATTACTTGTTTTATTCTTATTTTAACTTCCAGGAGTTAAAATATGTAATGGATATTAGACATTTTATCGACACTTTTTTTATGCTTTGAGCAGAAACTTATTTTTATCAAGCCTTTTTTATTTTATTATAACAGATGCTTTATCAAATATCTTGGAACTCTAAAACTGAACTGTACTTTTTGGATTTTAAATGGCAAGAAAAAGAGAACTGTATAATGCTTTCATGCTTATTGGAACTTTAAGAAGTGGGTTATACTTTAAATTTTTTTTTTCAGATTCTTCTGATATTTATGCAGAAAATGGAACTTCTGCTTACTAAATGTCCTCCTGAAGATATTAGGAATCACGTTTTACCCATGGTTTATCGTTCATTGGAGTCAGATGCTCAGCAAATACAGGTTAATAGAAGTGTGACCTGTTTCAGTATAACAGTGCATGTAGACTAGAGGAACAGTTTGTACTTCTTTATGAGTGCTATTCCATTCTAAAGTAGTTTGAATAAATCATGAAATTTTTACAACAAAACTAAAACATATAGATATAGACTTTTAAAATTTTTTGTTATATACAGGTTCTGTTAATTATTTGGTCAAAAATATTACTTTTCAGCAGGGGGTGTTAAAGGAAAATCAGGAAAAAGATGCATAAAAATGGTTTTTATGGCATTTTTTTGTTAAAACCAGGCACCCATCATAGGTCAACTCTACATAGGATAGGGATTAAAGTGAGGGTGAATACCACTCTGGTATTTGACATTTAAGGTAATTTTCAAGTTCATTCAGGTCAGAAAAGGTGAATTGCTGAACTCTTGATTGATGAAATAGAAAAGAAGGAAATGAAAATCCTAAAAAATATAAAAGGCATATTTTAAAGCTTTTAATTTTTTTTATGTTTGCATTCAAGACTTGACTGTTGCATTCTGTTTGAAATCAACATTGTACAATCTTTTTCTTTAGGCAGTACTCAATGTTGTAAAAGTAGGCATTCTGTGTATTTTGTCATTGTATTGTTTTAGAGAAATAATAATAATTTGGTAAATCATGAGTGTCGTAATACACGCACACATTATCATTGCATAATGTGAGGTTTCAGAGCTGTTTTTCTTATGAAGGTTTTATTGAAACACGAAGTCTATGAAAATTTGTTTTATTTTTTGTATCATATTCAATAATGCTGGAAGTCAGGTCTTGAGAAAAACATGAAATCAAAGTTTATTGTTAAAGTTTAGCGGGATTTTAAGACTGAAATAGAAATGTTTTATATTGAAAATGATTGGGTGTTTAAGAAATTATTTGTCTAACGTTTATTTAAATATGTGTGCAGTACCAGTGTACTTCAAACCCTATTTAATTCTCCCCTTCCTGCAGTACCATTGTACAACATAATCATCATTCTTTAGAATTGTTGTGTGTGGATAGGGACAGTCAGTCTTTGACTTTCTGGTTTAGTCTTGTGGAAGTTTATAAGCTTGTCATAGCAAAAAGAAAAGTCCTTGAATTGTGAATCAGAAAAATAAAATTCAAAGAATTCCCTACCTACATCCACTAAATCTTTTAGATGGCTACTGCCATTCATTTTGTCTAACTCTTGAGATTTTTGTTCAAATATTGATGGAATCAATGCCTTTATTGATCTTTTGTACTCCTTACAGGAAGCTTTCTTAAAACCTAATGATGTTTTGTCCACATGTCACTTGGCAATGGTACAGAAAGACGGTATGCATTAGACATGCTTACAGATGTGTGACAACACTATTAAGTCAGTATTCATATGCCATTTTGGGATTATGTTGATGTAAACAGAAAGGAGTAGAATCATGGAGCACCCACACTTTTCAACTCTGGGGCCCTGAAATACTTTCAAATCCCAATTCAGATTTTACTGTGATCTGTCTATCTGTCTGTTTTGTCTTCTACCATCCTTTTCTATGATGGTGAATGACAGTCCACATAATAGTGATTATTTTTCTACCATTTTGAGCAAGAGTGGCAGGAGTAAATACCTTCTGATTCATGTGCCACGTTGAAAACTATTAAAGGCTGATTAATTTACTTTTACTGCTTTATTAGAATATGATCCTGTCTTGTTGGACAACAGTCTGTTAATGAGTCTGTTGAGGCTATGACTGATTACACTGACCATGCATCACTACTTACTGTACTTAAAACCTCAACTAATTTTCATTTGTAGCAATAACTATGGTGGATCCTTGAGTGTACATAAAGCCTGTCAAGCCCAGAAAATGGGTTTTGGCTATCTTCAGTAAGTATCTCACTTGTGTAAACCTCATTGAACTGAAGGCTAGAGTCCAGGCCTGATGCAACAGATAGCAAATGGACTCATTATGAAGTTCACTTCTAGATTCTATTTTTTTTACCAATTAAAAAACCGTTTGGAATAACCAATTCCCTTTAGAAGTGTTTTTCTCATTCTTCTGATAGTTTTTAACTTTTTCAAGAAATACAACAACTGAAGTTTGATAGTAATGCACACTGTGCTAGTTTTAATGTTGAATCATTGTATACAAATATACTGTTGGAAGAGACCATACAGCTGAGTGAAAATTTGATTCATGATGATGTTTCCAATAATAAGTCTTTCTAAATGTAATCAACTTTTCAGTTAAAGAATCTCATTTTCATCTTAATGGAAAGCTTTATGATTGATGGTGTTGACATGGGTTTGAGATTGTTGCCATTTTTGGCTAATTTATTTTTATATTTCTATAAAAAACTGGTTAAAAAATTGCCCTCAACATTTTAAACTGACTACTATCATAGGTATGGTAATGAGTTCTGGTCAAGCTTCCCAATTTTTCCAATATTTGAACAGTAGACACAAAAGTATAAAACTTACAGATTATAGACTTTCTTTTTTGGATACTTCATTAATAATAATAATGGTTACTTCAAATGTGAAGTTTACCATGAAAATATATCTCCAAGCTTTTATTTTCATTGTGCAAGCTTTAATCCTAATTTGTATTTTAAATTTGATTAAAATATTGTTTCATCATTCTTATAAAGTATCTAGTATATATGAAGTATTACATAAAGAATTCAATAATATTAAAGACTTTTTTGTGAAGGAATGACTTCACTATTTTTTCTATTGATAAAATATTTTCTATTTATTTAAATAAACAAAGTGTTAGTATACCAGACACATTAGGAGTACTTAAGTATCTTGTAGTTATCAGTTTACCATATTTAAGTAAATATTATTTACCTGTTAAAAATCACTAACTGTAAAAGCTTGTTCTCTTTGTTACTCTGTCGAGAATGCTTTCATACTCCTTTTATGGTAATGCTCAACAATATAGCACTTAGCAACAAAACTATCACCTAATTGTTCTTATGCCAACTATGGTGTTTATGTTGAATGCTCAATATTCATGTTGATTTGTTAGGTAGGTTTGTTTATTATTCTTTATTTTTTGATAACTTTGGTGATATAACAGCAAAATAGTTTAATTCAGAAGTTTATGACATTAAGTTGTAGCCAAAAGCAAAATAAAATTTACCAAGTAGTATTTCAGCTAAGCCTTACATTATGTTTATGTATTAAATTAGACTACAAATAGGCCTACTATTACTAATGTTATAGAGTCAGTGTTTAAAAAGTTTTAAGTGGTGAATAAATATTAATTAATAAATATCCTTTTGGCATTTTAACACAAATATTATCTACTTGGCCTTAAAACATTATTACTACCAAATATCTTTTATCCTTTGTATAGTTGAAAGAGTTGAAAATTTGTGTTGCAATGGCTGCACTGTTTTCTGCTTCCTGACTTAGAATACAGTGAATAGGCTCAAGAGTGCTATTTAAGTCTATTTCAGAGTGCACATGTACTTCTGTTCAAGATAATATTTCATTTTTCTATGTAGTTTTTACTAAAAATGTGAGGATTAAAGAATAACTTTGAAACTGATGAAAGAAGTGAAGATTAGATGCATTTTGGAGATAGACAAATGTTTTAGTTAAGTTCTATAAATTTGTTAATCCTTCAACAACGGTTTACTGTGATTTTTGAGAGGCTTTTATACTAGTCAGTTAAATAATATTAGAAGGGTGTATCCACAGATACAGTTGTGAAGTTTGTTTAAATCTAATTGTTGCCACTGTTTTTATTTTGTCCTTGCTGTCAACAAGACTCCATCAGTTCTACTAAAAGGAAATTTATAATGCAAATGAATAAGCATGTTAACCTAAGATTCCCTATTAAGTTTAGTGTACTTTAACATGCCGTATGAGAATCTGTTGTTGTTGTCCAGTCTAACTGGTTTAAGATTTTAACAAGAGCCAATGAGAAATAAAGCCTCTGAATAAAATAGAGCTTGCTCATTCGCATGCTGAGGCCTGAGATCAATATTAAAAATTTTGCTAGTAAATTGCTTTTACTTTTATTCCACTATAACTTTTTACCGACATGTGGTTTCTTCTTGAATGTAACCAGGCTATGTGGATTGAGATTTGTCTGTTCATTTGAAGCACTTGCTATATCTTATACTCTAACTATCCTACCATAGCTTGTTACCAAACTAGCTTGTAGTTTCTCCTTGAGTTACCTTAAGAAGTCTAATAACCTTGATTGGAAATATCAGTTTTTTTTAGATATTGTTTGTGCTGCTTCTCCATCAAACATATGGTTGGTTCCAAATTAGGTGACTAAACTGGCTTAGCCATGACTTATCACAATTATGTAGTTGTACACATGATACTAAGACTTTTTTTCACTGCAGAATTAAATACAATCTTAGTAGCTTTGGGTTACAAAGATGATAAGCAGTACAGTCACTGTACAGATAACCATTTAGCTTATTACTGGATTTGGAATCGCTTAGTGTTAGTCCACATTTTTTTTTCTTTCCTTCACAAGAAACTGGATTAGTTATTACTTCATTGGTTGTCAAGCGTTGCTTAAGTTCTAGCCATGTTGGAATTTATTGGGATGAATTTTTTGATGTAACAGCCAAATTAACCTGCCCTTTCACAGTTGAGCCCTATGCTTGTTCCTTATGTACATTTTAAAGTACTGTTAGAAAGAAGCTTCATACTTGTTGACATAAGCTTTAGGATGAGAATTGAATGAATGAGTTTGATCAGATTATATATGTTGTGAAATATTAGCTGTCTAGTTTGTGCACATTTCATGAGGAAAAAATTGTTTTAAAGGGGTTCCATGTTGATATCTTTTATTGGGGAACGATCACCTATATTTTTTTATGTTGCTCTTGATGATCAGTGATAGCACTACCTTATATATATTTATTTGCATTTTGTTTATTTTATATTGGACAGCATCATTGGGAATGATGATGATGTGCTTGACTAGACAATGTTTTTACATTTCTACAAGCCATTGGCTTGTGTACTATTTAATTTTTTATCAGATGCATGTACCATTTACTGTTGTTTTTTGCTATCACTATAATTTTTTTACTTTCTTTATCTTTTCTTTGGTACATATGACATTAGTTGCCTTCTTTCATAAATGATAAATCAAATTAATAAAGAATTATTTTTTGAGTTCATTAAAAATGTTAAAGATGAGAATTACATCTGACTGCTCATTCTGAAGGATATTGATGACCAAATAATTATTAGTATTTTTATTTTGTATTGGTCATACCTATACATCTACTATTACATACAGGTGCAATATGTATGCTTCTAAGTTTAAATAATGTTTTACAAGTTCTTTGCATTTTTTTTATTAGAGTAATTACTGATTTATATGTTAAATTAATTTTAATAACTTGGCAGGATTGATATTTTTTTATGTAAAAACACAAATAGAATAATTTTTTCTCTTCATTATCAAATAATATCAAATATTCTTCTTCTACACTGCATAAAACAGATAATGGACATTCTCAACTTATTGTAACAAGGACAAGACAGAATTAGTCATGTGGTTTGAAATGTAAATAATTTATCATTTGGTGCATACTGTATATAGTAATCTTATACACTTCAGACTCGTTTGTTATTTTGAAGCAAGTAATAGAGATGTTTTATTCAGGCAGATGATTAGTGGTTAGCTAGTCATAATAAGCTGTTGCAAATTAATTTTATACGTCTCATTAGCAAAATATAGAACCAAATTCATACTAATCTTACAGTTGCTTGAAATTTGACAAGACAGACCATCCATGATAGAGGTTGTTCATTGTAGCTCACTAAAATCATAGACTTTTGGCTCAAAAACCTGAGAGTTGCAACTAGATGCCTAATTAAAGGCCAGCCTATTTGCTAAATGCCCAATGAGGTACAAAAGCAAGCCTACTTGCAATCTTCTCCTGTTCTAGACATTGTAGTAATGATGTCAGATATATCATTCAGTTCCGTAAATCTGAATAAGGTAAAAAGTTAGAACTGTAACTACATTTTTTTAAGTACTAATTGAACAAACTGCCAAATTCCAACAAGTCAAATTACCTTGGCAAAGCTTATGGTTTGACCAGCTGTTGAACATTTACTTTAGCTAATGCTTAACTAATATTTAATTCCTAAAAGTTATTTCACTGAATTATAATTAAATTTTGAACATTAAAATAGTTAAAAGAAGTGATCACTTTATTACTATAACCATATAACTCCAAAACAAATAGTTCCATAAGAAGATGGAGAATATTATCTTAGTTGAAGGTGTAGGAAGTATGGGTTGTAAGTTGTTCACAGTTTGAATGTGTTGTGTTGAGCCATGAAAAGTAAACTTGAGATTTTAGTGACTAACCATAAGGTTATTTAAAAAGTATTCTCATTGAAAAGAACATTTGGTTAGTTGTTTTTTCATATAAAGATGTCTGTTAAATGACTGCTCTCAAAACTATGCGAAATGAAAATAAAGTGGTCAAATGGGTAGAAGAAGCTTCATTGTCAACTAATGAATAACTGAATTGAAAAATGATTATTTTTTTGATTTTCAGGAACTATGTCTGAATGTTATACCAAATTTTGCTGGTCTAATTGAGTATTCAGCTATGAAGAATGCTCTTATACCTCATATCAAGAAGCTGTGCTTAACAACAAGTTATCTATCAGTACGAGTGAATTGTCTTGTGTGTTTAGGAAAACTTTTGGAACACTTGGATAAATGGCTAGTTCTGGATGATATCTTGCCTGTGCTTCCTCAGATCCCTTCCAAAGAACCAGCTGTTTTGATGGGCATATTAGGTATGACAAACAGTGAACTTCTGTCTTGTCTTATGGTTAAAATATTGCCTGATCATTACACTGAATAAACCAGCTGTCTTCTAACTTAACAGTTTAGTATAAAAGTTATCATTAGATTAAACTATAATAATCTAAAAACTTTTATTGAATACAGCTAAGAAGGAAGTTCCAATTTTTTTATCTATGTAGTTCTATTTTTGGGATACAAAAAGACTCGCCATGTTATCAGAAATTATCAAATGTTATTTAGGTAGAAGACATACAAAATCTTAAGTTGCTTTTTGATTTTCTGTAAATAGCTAAGGAAATCTTTATAAGTAATTTCTTTTTCCATAGGCATGTATTGGAGGTAATTTTTCAAATTCAGCACAGCATAAGTTTTACAGTTTTTAAATAAAATTGATAAAAATTACAGTTAACAAACTTCACTGAAACAGTTGTTGTTCAAGTAAATGATGACATAAATATCATCTCAACCATTCCTACATCTGTTATATCCCAGCTGATCTGCTTAGCTCACTCTGACATTAGGCAAAATGCCTTATTTACACTAAATATAACAGGCACAGTGTGGTTGAACATATTACATTCTTCTTTAATGAAGTTTATATCATTAAATGTTGCTAGCTGTAGATTAATAGAAGAGAGATAGCATTGGTGTTGATTCTTCATGAAAATGAAAGAAAAAAAAAGACATTGCTGGTATCATTTATATCTGTTACTAGTTCTGGCAGTTTCATTCTATGATCTCATTGGAATATGCCTAACCTTTTTCTTTTTTGTTGTACATCTTAGAGGTTTTCATGTGTAAAACTTCTTGTTGATACATCAACACACAATCTTTGTTTCTTCTTATTCAGAATCATTTGAACTTACTACAACATGGATAGTTATGTAGTAATGTGGCTAGTACAGGATTTCATAGTAACAGGTTGATTTCCTGTTTTCATGATTTCTTGTTATAGAGATCAAAAAGTGACAATTTACTTGAAGAGGAGGGGTGGCTGTTCATGGAAGGTGCTCTTTTTTTATCCATAACATTTTAATTGAAACTTTGGTTTTAATTTTGTTTCTATTAATTTCTTAACATACACACACATACTTTATGTTAAAAACTAAAACTTTCTGGAACATTTGGATAAGTGGCTGATTGGTTGTGGATGATGTTAGTGTTTCTTCAGCTCTCCTGCTCAGTTTAATAGTTTGAGTGAATGCTTTTTGCTGCTTCTGAGGTTCAAATTTAAAGTTGACATGGGTTAAGATTTTATAGTAATTATGGTGTAAGTTTGGTATGTTAGGCTTCTGAGAAAATCCTAAGTTTTCAATCATCTTAAAATGCTGTAGTTGTTTTGCTTACATTGTTCCTTGGAAGGCTTACTTCTGTTTACCTTTACTATTTGTTAGGATTTTATAGTAATATGTGGGTCAAATATGATTTCATAGTAACATTTAGTTAAGGTTTTGTTGTAATGTGACTAGGATATAATTTCATTGTTACATGTGGTTTTGTAGTACCATATTATTAAGATTTTGCTGTATTGTGGCAAGGCTAAAATTTCATAGTATCATCTGGTTAATGTTTTTTTTATTAATGTGGCTGAGATAGGAGTTAATAGTAACATGTTGTTATGATTTTCTTATAATGTGGCTGAGATAGGAGTTAATAGTAACGTGTTGTTATGATTTTCTTGTAATGTGGCCGAGATAGGAGTTAATAGTAACGTGTTGTTACGATTTTCTTGTAATGTGGCTGAGATAGGAGTTAATAGTAACGTGTTGTTACGATTTTCTTGTAATGTGGCTGAGATAGGATTTCATAGTAACGTGGTTAAGGTTTTATACTTGTCTTCAAACAGTTTTTGATGAGACATGCATCCTTGTTTCCTCATAACATGTCAACATTTATCTACAAAACTCATATTTAGCTAGAAACTTACAGATTTAACTGTTTTTTTATTATATTGGAGTATCATATGTGAAACTTTTCAGTAAATATGAAATTTGTTTGTTAATTTTTTATTCAGGCATCTATAAACTGGCAATGACACACAAAAAGCTTGGAATAACAAAGGATGTGATGGCAACCAAAGTGATACCCTTTCTTATGCCCCTTACTATTGAGAATGGATTAACACTAAATCAGGTTGTGGTTTCTTCTACAGTATTTAAAATTTGTATATAACTTGTTTTTCATAAATACTAAAAGGCATCACATTTACAGGCAAATAGAAAATTTATCTGGAATATATTGTAGTTTGATTCAAAGAAATTAAAAATTTAATGTAATAATAAATGCTTTTCTGTAGTAAATATTTGCTGTTTGTGTATGGTGTTTATTTCTAGAATATTATTTTGTAAACTATGATTAAAGTGCAGGGTAATCATAGAGAAAGGTTATTATAAGAAATAGTCTGAATATTTTTGTTTTTGAAAACAAGATTCTACATTAATTACAAGGTAGCACTATGGATACTTAGCTTCATCTTCCACACAGTTCCCAAAAAATTCATAGATTTTTAGTGGAAATGTTTTAAAATTTCACAAACTTGTTTTTGATATTTGATTTGATTACCACTATTATAGATTAATTTTATGCATAATACCTTCATAAAGTGTTTATAAATTTATTTTATTAGAAGTTACAGCTTTTACAGTAAGTAAGATTTGTATTTAAAACAGGTATGACGTTTCGATCATGGGTGCAATCATTCTCAAGTACAAAAGTTTTGTTTGCGATTTGACTCTATTATTGCTTTCCTGCAGAGGTCTTCAAGGCTGGTTTTTAAATGTAACACTGGGATGGTTGGAAGAGTTACTGCATAGTGAAAACCTTTACTTAGGGTTGTGGTTTGAAATTCACTAAGTTGAAGTTTGCTAGGTTCTCCTGTTCTCAAGTGGATCTATCTGGTGTAACTCTGCAGTTAAATTAGTTCACCAGGATATATAACAGTCGATCTGTAATCAACACGTGGATCAAATTTCCTGTTCTCAAGTGGATCTATCTGGTGTAACTCTGCAGTTAAATTAGTTCACCAGGATATATAACAATCGATCTGTAATCAACACGTGGATCGAATTTCCTGTTCTCAAGTGTATCTATCTGGTGTAACTCTGCAGTTAAATTAGTTCACCAGGATATATAACAGTCGATCTGTAATCAACACGTGGATCGAATTTCCTGTTCTCAAGTGGATCTATCTGGTGTAACTCTGCAGTTAATATAGTTCACCAAGATATATAACAGTCAAGCTGCTGGTTTATTCTCTACCCATCTGAAAAATCAACTTCATTTTAATTGAAAGTTATAACAATGTACCTCAGCAAATGATTGAACATGTATGATACATTAGGCACTAATTTATAGTTTTATATTACTTACAATATTTTTACTGTCTTTTAATACACTGACATGTGTATGCCATTTTATACAGCAAACATTGTAATGTGTGTGTGTTATATTCTTACAAAAACACCTGACTATGATGAAAGACAAGTGATTGGCTAGTGTGAACTTTTCTGTGTGAGTGTGTAAATAAGAATTTATGTTTCCATTCCTTGAAGTTGCATGAAAACTTTTGGTTTGGCATGCACATTCCTTACAAACATAGTAACTTCTATGCCATTGTTGCTGATATTCACAGAACATGAGGGTGCGTGTGAAAGTAAACAATCTTGGATGAGATTAGTTTTGTCTGGTAATTAAGCTGATTGTACAATAATTATGTAAGTATGTTCTTATAACCATTCAAACTTTTGAGAATTCCCAAGTTTCCAGTCTGCTTAAAAGGCTCTAGCTATTTTACCTTGAAGGGTTTTGTCATGTAATGTTTGATATTATCTTAGTGTTTAGGCTTACATTTAGCAACTGGTGTAATGTTAACTGTTCTTCCTTTAGTTTAATGCTATTATATCAGTGGTCAAAGATATGATCAACAAAGTTGAGACTGAACATCGTGGAAAATTGGAACAGCTGAATTCTATTCGTCAGGAACAAAGGTATTTGACTTTGTCTTCTTTCTGTATTGTCAAAAATTTATCTTGATATAAGGAAAATCTTCTGTTTTAAAGGTAAGATACATGTTATCTTGTAAATATTATTGATTATGATTTACTTTTAATAATGTTGTTTTGTTAAAGCTATAAAAAGTGTGATTAATATTGAAACAAAAATATTTCAAAATATATTATTAAATAACCTTCTTGATTTGTAAAAGTTATTTTATATTGTTTATTAATCTCAGTCAATTAATTATTTTTAGAGGGTTCAGAAAACATTACTTTGGCTATGTTTATTGTGTTTATAGAAAACAGTGTTGTGTAAGAATCTATCTCGAGTAGATAAAAGTTTATCTTGACTTAATAAATATCTTTTCCAAAAGTGAAAAACATTCTTGACATTGATACTACATTGGTTCATTATGAGTTTTTTTATATTAAGAAAATCTGTACTGTTGGTTTACATGAAACTTTTGAGTGTTTCCCTGTTACAGTTGGAATAATATTAATCCACATTTTTTATTATTACCCTTACGTATTTTTTAAAGTGTTTTTTGAAAGATGTTAAAATTTTGTGACTGTATGTTTGTATTTGACTAATTGAATCTGAAAATTGACTTTTAAATGCTTTGTTTCATTACTGTCAAGCTGGCCTATTTGTCAATTTTTGAGTCTTTATACAAAGCACCATAATCATTGGTTTAAGATTTATTTAACTTAAATATAATGTTTTAATTACAACATACAAGGCTAAAGTAACACTTTTTTTTTAAATCAGACATTGTAGTGTAACTGTGTCACATTTGCAACAAGAAAATTTGTATTATTGGGAGAAGGAGATGTAAATACCAAAGCATAATTTATTAAGTTGTTCTACTCACAATTGATCCTCTTTCTTATTGGTCTAGTTTTTCACAGTTGAAAAATCTGAATTTCACCCATATATATATATATATATATATCAAGTTTAGAATATATCTATATTAAGGTATTCGATTACGAGGAACCCACTTTGAGACTAATAATGGCTGGAGACGGCTTGAATGGGTAATGAAGAAAAACTTTAATACAACAGCAAATGTACAACGTTTCTAACATTACCCATTCAAGCCGTCTCCAGCCATTACTATATTAAGGTATATTTGAATAACTTTTCTAAATTTTTCATTTAGGTGTTCTGTATATGGTGATGACATTAATCAGATGTCTAAAGGCCATAAACATGAACTAACCATTTTGCTTGTATAAAGTATGCCCCTCAGTGGTTCAACAGAGAGTCTGAAAGCTTATAATGCTAAAAACCAGGTTTTGATGCCTGTGTTGGGCAGAGCACAGATAGTTCATTGTGTTAAGTTTACATATGGCAACAGATATCTCATAGAAGGTTTTTCAATTAGTTTCTGTGTCTAAATCCACCCCTTGGTGTGGGCAAGCCCATTTCAAAGGGTGACACAGATGCTTGTACAAATTGGTATGAGCTGAAGGTTTATCTTACTTGGTGACTTAGAGAATCCATGGATTATGTGTACCATACTGACTTAAAAGTGTGGTATAATAGAACTAGTGCTATCCTTGTGTCATGCAGGTGTTTGAAAAACATCTTTAGGTCCAACAGTCAGTTAGAGTACAAACAGTTAAGAGCTTGGTAAATACTTGTTTAGTATCTAAAGATTGTTTATTTTTCTTTAACTCTGTGTTTTTGATTATTTTAATGCATAGAATTTCTTTAATTTGCTGTGATGTGGAAACTTTGGGACCTGTTGGATGTCAGTGTGCTTGAACATGAAAGACACTCTTAAGTATATGAAATAAGAAATAAAATAGTCAGTGTAAAATTAAGTAAGTAAGTAAGTTAATCCTTTTCATGCTGGTGCTTAACTCCATTTTTCTGTGGTATAAGAGATGAGAATGATGACACATTTCCCCTGGATAAGATGCTAGTCCATTGCTGGTTAAACCCCTGCTACCTTTACACCTACCAGTGTAAAATTAAGTAGCCATTATTTAAATGGGGCTTGTTTAATAGTAAAGAAGATTAGTATATAATCAAGTATTTGTATATTTTTTGTGATGTGGGTATTTTTCTGTTAGGAATAATGCACATTTTGTTTGTCATATAAGTTCCACACTGGAGATGACTCAGGTTCATCCTATTAAACAAGGAGAAATATTTTCAGACCTGGATTCTAACAAAAGTAAAGATGCAAACTCAGTAAGTTCCTTCATATCAATGCAGTCCTGAAAATCTAGATTATATGTAGTGAGTCACTTTTTTATCTTAGTATTATGCACCTTTGAAGGGTATGGATGAAATTGGTCATCTTATGTAAAAAACTATTTCTTGTGTATTCTTTTACATAAAAAAAGTAAGTTGTGATTAATTGTGTTTATCACATCTAAGAAAACTTATCCCTTCCTCTGTTATGACAAGATCCCACTTATAAGGACAAGTACATCTCTAGATACCTTTAATAAATAATTATTGTAGTGAAGTTGTTGGATAAGAAAAGAACTAGAATGTATTGTCATTTACATGCTGTTTTATAACTTGGTAATAAAAAGTTGTACTTTTTGTACATAATAAGCTTAATTCATAAGAAAAAAAAGATGGATAAACTAGAATATGAAAGTAAGTAAAGTGAGCTTTAAGTTTGTTTTTATTCAGAAAGGAGGACTTTTGTTTTCTTCATTTTAAATTTGAGGTAAAGATGGCAGCAATTTCGTTGTAGGCAAATTCACAGTGACAGGTGGATGCAGTCTGCTTTTCAATTAACGTCACTAACTGAAAACAACATTTTTGTCATCATTTTATAACATTTTGTTTATTTTTTGTATAGCTGGGAGATATGTTTCAAGGCTTAGGTCTTGACAGTTATGTGAACAAAAGTCCAGCAAGCAAAGCTTCTGTTACAAGCCAGTTCTCTTCTGTTTCCACAACAGCTTCCAATACTAGTCAGCTAAGAAAGGTAGAGAAGCTGCTTTAAAAATATTTTTTTTCTTTCATTTCAGTAATTAAAACTTTGAATGGCTGTAACTCAACTATAACCACTATGAATGTGAGTTTTTTTAAAGCTAAATAATTAAGATTTAGAAACTTACTTTGAATATTTTATTATTCCAATTAAAACTGTAAATAATATTTATTCATTCTTCTTCTTGCATGGTGCTGCAAGGGCTTACAGCATAATATCTATAGCTATGATAAATATGGAAAAATGAACTATGCTTTCACTTTTATATTATAGGTTTCCTTCCCTATCATTCCAGAAAAATCAAAGTAGTGAATGTTTAAAAAGCCTGGAATTTATCCCAAATAGGTGTGGGATACTAGAGTCCTGTAAAGTTTGTGCTGCATATCAAGATGAATAAGTCATGCTACTCAGAGCAGTAGGCCTAAAATATGTTTCTATAAGTGATTTTTGAATGGTACTAAAAGATGAATGAATATAATATTACAAAGGATTCTACTGTTACACAACTTGTTTTAGTAGCTTTGAAACTATATAACAAAATCTGCAATATTATAACAAAAGAACTGAAAAGAAATTCCACACAGGAAATGAACACTACTGCAACAGTGAAGGGGTTAAAGCTGTTTCTTTTTAACATCAAAATTATGTGAATAAAAATTATAATTTTTTGAGGTTTTTATAAATATACTCCTTAACTCTATCGCTTCGGGTTTTCCTATGGTCAGGGGTCAAAGGGTATGTCATCACGTTTGTAGACTTACATTCAAAATTTTATTGAACTACTATTTTATGAATGTATGTCAAGAAGTTTGGTATCAAATTGTAGATTATAATTCAAATTTTAGTATTAAAAAATTCCTAAATATCCATTTTTGTGTCACGTAGTATGTTGAATGCAGCTTTGGTTCAAATTAGATGTTTGTGATGACCAAATGCAAAGTATATAGTTTCTTATAAATTAGAAACTTAAATTACCAATATTGAAAAGCTAGAATATAAAATAAGAACCTCCTATCTTTTCTATTTGTTGAGATAACACTATATTTACCTAGTCAAACACAGTGGCCCCTGCCCACCTCTTCCATTTTTGGAAATACTTGCTTACGTACACCCACTTCACTCTATCATGTGTTTATAACCAATCAAAAGCTCAGAATTCCCCCACATGGTCTTCTCAGCCAGTAGGTGGGAATTTTCTAAGATTATTTCTTTTGTCTCCATTATTGGAAGGAAGGAGTAAGTGAAAATGTTGTTTTTCAAACAACATTTTTTTAAACCCAGTTTAATTAGTAAGCCTGATAAATTACAGTGGAATTCTGTGATATCGGTTGAGTAATTTATAATTTTTTGCTATTTCAAATGCATATATAAAACCTAAAAAAAAAGTTATTTTGTTTTACATCCTCCATGTGTGAAATTTAGCAAGGCTTAGCATGCAAAGTACGGCAGGTGAGTACAAACTTCTTTACAATTGTAAGTAGTAGCAACCATTGTTTTCTTTATTTACTGTTCTATGTTTTGAGAAAAATAACTGAAATTTAAAAATTTATTTGTAAATAGTTATAATATATTTAAATATACACATACATACATATGCAATGTATTAGTTTTACAAAATACTGGTCCACTAGAACAAAGCCAAGACAGGTCACTTTGTAAAGGCCAGTTTTATACTACTGGATATGGTAACATGAGTGCATGTACACTGCATCATTTCAACTTAGTACTTTTAGTCAGACATAGCTGAAAGGTCAATAAAATAAAAATAATAAATATATATAGATAGGTGTTTAATGTTATATATTAAGCTATTTAGATGAAACATTTTTGGTTTCATGTTATAATTTGTAGTCATTCTAGAATGAAAAAAAAAGCATAATTTATATCTATTTCCTAATTTTTATGGTGGTTACAAGGTCAGTCAAATCGACCAAACCCATACAGATACAATAATGAAAATAACAGATAAGATATAAAAATTTTTCTAAAAAAAACGTTTGATAATTATATGGAGGTTATAGAGATTTTGTATGTGAACTTTGACAATTTTCTGATGCATAAAAGTATTTTTAATCTTAAAATCAAAATTACTTTGTATGTTGGATAATCAAAAAAATGCATGAGCAAATCATTACTTAAAAAAAATTTTAAAACCTAATTAACAAATCTGATATCTTGTATACTAAAACCTTGTAATGTTTATTGAAAAGTTTGTGAAGATACACTTACTGTATTAAAAGTTATAGCCTGAAAACTATAACAAGCACAAAATGGTTACAAGGTCAGTCCTTAGGACTGAGCCCATAGTTAGAGTTAATGCATTTTACCAAAATAAGTGTTTCCCTATAATGATTTTTTTCCCCTTTGTTGCTGTGTTGAATAATTTATTAAAGTAACCATCACCTATCCAGTTTTCATATATCTTTAAACTGGTCCTCCATGTGTATTTCAGGTTGAATTAAGCTTGGAGGAAAAGCAGCAATTGGCACAGCAACAAGAACAACAGCTCCGGTTCAAGATGCAGGCTCCCATAATACCAGAAAACAAGCCATTATCAACATCTAATCCAGCTAAACCACGAAATTTGACTAATTCTTTGCTTGATACTAATCTTACTAGTCTTGGCCTTAGCCCTGGGTCTACAGGGCCTCTTCAGTTGTCTTCATCTCAAAATTCTCTCTCCCCTTTAGCACAGTCTAGCACTGGACTGATGTCTAATGCTATCAACCAAACATCTTTCAGGGGACATACTAACACAAACACTCTAAATTCATGGCCAGCTTTTTCACAGCCTTTGCTTGGTGCACAGGCTACAACTTTTCAACCACAGAGTTCAAACCTTTCTTCTTTAGACAACTTGCTTATACCTGGCATTAGTTCAAGCAGGCTAAAACCTCCTTTGAATCAGATCTCATCAGGGCCTCAGTCGTTACCTGTTAGTGTCTTTCCTAGTTTCCAACCACAGAGAATGGCAGTCAATCAACCCTTAATATCACAGTCTCATCCATACAGCTTTCAGAGCACTGTAAGTTCTCAACCACATCAAGGAACAGGGAGCCAAAGTATTATGGGTACTAATATGCAACAAAAACAAATGTCATCAATTTCTCAGAGTTGTGCAAAAGACGAATTAGATGATTTTTTTTCTTGAATTATGAGATAATTGTATTTATGTGTGGCATTGTTAAATAAATATGGGGAATGATTCATTGAGGAATTACAAATAGTGATATCTTTTTCATATTTTACAAATTGTTTAAGGTGATTGTAGTGATGATGATAATTGTCACATGGGGTTGGCAGTTTGAAATGATAAATATATCTAACAAGTTGTGTAAGTAAACCTTAATATATGGAGTATGATCAAACAGGATATAAAGGTAAGAGTATTTTTCAACTGTTCTGAACGTGATAAAATGTTCAATTCTTTTACCCCTCTCCATTGCTTTTTTTTTCCCTGGTAATATTTACTCTTTAACAATTATGAACAAAGCACCTAACTTCTTAAACATACAGTAAAAAAATAACATTACATGTTTTTATACAGTGTATCTCGCCAATAATTAAGAGAAAAGTTGTTCAGTGATAAACATCAATTCTTTGCTGTTTTTATTAACTGATTCAAACTTTTGCTGGAATTTGTGGTTACTACTGAACCTGAAAATATATTGAGTGAAAAATTACTTGGATGTAAGCTATGCACATCTTTTTTTTTTTTATTTAATTACAAGATAAGAGATCTCTATTCATTATTTTTTAACTTGACGAAATAATACACTTGTTCAAACTTTTCCATCAAGTACAGTAATGTATACTCCTTTAATAAGCACACATAATCCTGTGACAACTTGTGGGAGGTTATGTATGATATTCAGTTCTAGACTGAATCCTTACCAAATCAGAATGAATGTACAGTACAGTAACAAAACCTTGGGATTAGTTAATGCTTGAAGCCTAATTTTACTAAACTGCTAATATTTTACAACAGTGATACCAGTTATTTTTGATGAAATTGTAGCTGCTAGGATTAAGCTATAGTGTCCCCTACATGAGTTTAACATGAGAACCAGCGAGTGCAATGTATTTGTTGACATTTATACTCCTTGTATTAAAAATGAAAACAAGATGAGGTGAAAAACTTGGTTTTCATATGAATTTATATTGGTAAGGTGATATGTTGTTGAGAAATGTAAAGTTGTTTTATGTGAACATTTTAATAGAATTATTAACTGTGACACTGATGGCTTAAAATCAGAAATAATGATATTTTGTGCTTCTAGTTCTTTATTTTCTAGAAATTCTTGATTGACTGGTTAAATGGAATATAAAATGCAATAATAAGTTTGTCAAAGTTGCTTAAAAATATTAAAGTAGAGGCCATTTCTTCATTAGTCTAGAACTGTACATTACACACAACCCTTTGTTAACCTGGCGTCAGTAAATTTTGTGTGGTTCTCGTATGAGTGAAACTACAAAACTTAAGCAGTGCCTTCATTCTCCAAAATATTCTCTGTTTCCTAAGCCATTGATTTTTTTTTTTTGGAGGATAGGAGGAGCATCCAGATTGTGGAGTTTATTAGAACTCTAATTAATAAAGTAATCAAACTGAACATTCCATTGGTTCGATTGTTTCAATCTTTCAGTTCACTATTGATCAACTTGTATAATTTTTTTTCTGAAGTAGTAATATAATGGAAACGTTTTTACATAAAACTCTTGATATTATAAGGTATTTAATTTTGTTTTAAGTATAAAATTTTAGTGCTACTGAAACATTCCACTTCAGATATCTTTGTTATAATTAAAAATAGCTTCAAAAAAGATAATTAGAAATTGTGATTTTCATAAAACATCTGCTATGAAATTAACCTTTGATTATTTTAAGTGTTCTAGTCGTCTTTGTAGTTAGTATGTAAAATGATAATACAAGCAAATACTGAATAAGATGCATGTTGAATTTTACAATAAAATTGTGAGAAATAAAAATACAAGAATGTAAGGACTGATTAATTTATATTCTATAAGATGGTTCAAAGCCTTAATGTATACATAAAAAATAAGTACAATATATTTTTAAAAATTTCTCTTAAAATTTATGTTAAACCTGAAAAAAGTATTAGAAATGTTTAACAAATACAAACCGTGTAATTTATTATGAAATCTTTTAAATATTAGCTACCGAGCAAAAAATAGATGTTATGTAATAAGTAAAGAGAATACACAGTGGTAAACTAAAACCTTTAGGAAGCTTTAGATTTTTCTTTGTACCTTTTCACTCAGTCTCTAATTTCAAATGAAAAAAAAAATTGTGTAAAACCATGAACATAATACATGGAAAGCAGGTAAGATCCCAGAAGTAATAATGTATTTTTATGAAAATAGCCTTCCTTCACCAGTTAACCCTGATGAACTTCTTTGTGCTTAAGATACTGGGTTACTAATAGTTAGATATTTACATAGTTGTTATGCTCTTTCTTAATAAACAATTTTATAGCACACAGAATTGTGTAGTTAAGTGGGCTTTGATTAATGCAAATAAAGGAAATTCATAACAAAATTACAAGGAAGTATAAGGCTATATACTGATAAGTGTTGTTCTATTTTTTGGTAAAGAATGTGGAGTAACTGAGCTAATAATGATTACAAGTACAAACCAAGTAAGAGATTGGTCATTCTTATGTCATGGTTTGTTTCACTTTCTTGTATTTATCTATTGCTTAACTTATATCACACTTTGTTTGCTTATGTATTAAGTGCAATATTACAGTATGAAACATAATAAAACCCAGTGAAGCAGCTCGTTTTATTTGTGTTGTAGTCTAAAAATCTATGATGCATATCTGTAGAACTAAAAACCTTTAGTGTTTTATGTCTTGAAACACTAATATCAGGTACACAATTTAGTATTTGTTTTTAACCTACACATTGTAGATGTGAATACTTAAAAAATTTAGTCTTTTAAATTTTTATATTTTTTTTTTAGTGTTAAGATTTATAAGATATACAATTATTAGAATCAATGTTTTGGCAGAAATATGATACACATATGCTTGTAAACAAATATTTAAGAACTCAAAATGCTTATTACTTGAATTTGGGGAACATCATCTTTCTATTACATAAAATGATTACTTTTTGTTTAAAAGACATGTTAATCTTGTATTTAATAGTATCTATGATTTGTGACAAATTGTAGGCTCTTAACCTCCACACAATATAAAAGAAATGTTAGGGCAAGTGAAATGGTTTATATGACCCTCAGGAACATATTTGCATGAAAATTGGTATATTGTAAATATTAGTTAAAAATTTTCATACTCACAATAATTAGTAAGGGATCATTTAACACAAATAGCTATGTTTTGGCTGTCCAAGTTTTTTGTGTAGAAAATGACAATATGTAAACCAGTTATTCAAAAACACAATGTATGTACTTCTTTGTAGTTACTTATTGTGGTCTTAAATTCAGTACTATCATATCGTTTTAAATTAACTCTGTTGGATTGAAACAACTATATATTGATGGAGAAAATGACAGAACTTATATTCAAAGCTTTCGTAAATCAAAATTTTACAAACAAGATAAAAAAGTTGCACTTATGTGTAAGAACATTTTTCTTTTAAGCTTATCAGAATTTGTAAATCAAAAACAATGATTTTGTTCTACATCTCATATTGGTAAGAATGACAGACACAATTTTTTAAAATATAACAGTCTAAAAAATATCAAAATATCAGCCTGGTGTATCCTCTTGTCTTTCTTCACTGTCTTTACTATCACTAGCACCAGATGGTGTTTTTTTCTGCCTTTTCCTCACAAAAAAGCTCAAAGTTTCTTTATCAAATTCTAGAGGCATTATTCCAATATCACCATCAAATCTGTTCTTGGTCACCTAAAGAAAAAATTAATAAAATTTATATATTTAAGTTGGTGTTTGTTGAGATCTATCAATTCTGAATATTAAAAGAAAAATTATAATAAAGTACTACACACTCAAAACAAGAACAACTCTGAATCTTGCTTCCATATTGTACTCCTTGATCAGACATGGCAGTAGGTGGTTACAACCATACACTTTATTCTGGGCTTGGGGTATTCCCCACAATATGCCTGATTAAATTTAATATAGGGCTTAATTTGAATACTGTTATAAGAACATTGAGAAAATGCAAAGATAATTGGGGAAAAAAAGGCTGGCAGGTGAGGATGTACTCTGGAACTGCCTGAAATAGACTTTCTATAACTTAGCTGGGGAGCCTTTTTCTCAGTATACAAAAAACCGGATGTACAAATGGTGTTGAAAGGAAAGAAAGAAACTGACTTGAGACTGCATTTAATAATATTTACCTTGATTACATAGTAAGAATTATAGAAAGTAAAAAATAATAAAATTCGTAAATCAATATATCATAATGAATGACTATTCAAATAACTGAAACTGAAATTACTATAACATTGCCATCTCATACCATTTTTTATGCTTTGACACACTTACAATTCAGGGTAATCTTTTCAAAATCCATCTTATATAAGGCAATAAACATTAGATATTTGTTCTTCTGACATTTTTGCTGTCAGGTAATTCATTATAAGTTTTGTTTTAGTAAAACATCTTTCAGTTCCTGCTCCAAACTTGCAAAAATACAAGCATTGAATATTCTTTTTTATGCTTATGAGCAAAGCTGTACAATAGACTATTGCCCTGTGACCACTAAGCCACTAGAGGGCAGTTTTTTATTTTTTATATTGTCATATAAATTAGATGATACTTACATCTTTTCCTCCGGCAAAGGTTTCATCACTCAGGGAGAAAAATTAATTATGTGTATTACCTTCATGTTAAAGCTTTGTTACTGAACCATTCCAAGTTTTTATGTAGTAAACATGATAATGAAGTGAAAGTTTATATAGCAGATCTTTCTAAAACCATTGTGGTGTATGAATAGGTTGTTTTGAAAGTTAAACCACAACCAAACTGTCAAGACATTTGCACATACACTTGTTCACATTCTATAATCACAGCCTACAAATGTATCAATACCTGAATATATTTGCGACCACGTAATGTACTCAGTCTTTTATCCTGTAAGATCAGAATGTTGTCAGCTTCTTGACTAGCTTTGGCTCCTCCAAAAATGGAACTGTTGTTTAACTCATCAGTTTCTCGTTCCTAAAAGAAAACTTGTTACTTTGTGACTCACACATTAACAACTATATGTATGCCAATTTCTTTCTTTGCCTATTTTGAATATAAAAAACAAAAGTGTATTTATAATCATGTATCTTCAATTTTTGTCAGAGTTTTAAATGTATCTTTAAAATTTGGAAATTTTTATTCTACAGTTATTATTTATTCTTATAAGTACTGATTACCATTGTTTATTGAATGTTTTTAACCCTCAAGTTACTGACTTTTTTTCATACTATTCATATATTGCATCATATTGAGTCATTTTATATTTTTGCCTGAAACAACACCGACTAAAAATAAATTAGAACTGGTTCACTTTCTATTTCAAATACACAGAAGACCCTTGTAGTAATTAATGGGATTAATCTCAATGTTGATGATATTTTTGTTTACATTTTTTGGTGTGACTCATTATGCTATGAAAGACCCACAAGCACTCTGGTCATAAATAGTATAGAAAAATGTATTTATAAATCTGATGGGATCTACATGGATCACATTAGTAATTCTAATTTTACAGAATTTCTTGAAGTATTTACTTTAGAAAAATTATTAATATTTATTAAGAGTTTACAGAATTGACACCAAAAATGTATTCAAATGTATTAAATTACTTCTCAAAGAAGAACAGTAATGCACAAAAGCATTTGTTACTACAAACACTTTCAACATTTTGTAGTGATTAAGAAAAATGTACTCATTTGAGAAACAAATTAATGTTGACTATTATATATATTTGTATTTCCCTGTAATTTTTAAACCATCATGTCCAGCTCTAAAAGAACATTATTAACAATTTTAAAGTCACCATCTGCATGTATAAGCTAACTAGACATAAATTAACTTGATCTTTGTAACTTACACCACACTATTAAATTTCCAAGACATTGGAATAACTTTAATTATGATTTATAAAGCACCCTGTGTGATTCCAGATTAAAAACTTGACTTGTAGGACTTTAAGACAAACCTTTATAAAGTTGCAAGTACAGTCCTAAGGATATGAACTGTATAGTATGAATATTTTCAATAATAAAAAGAAATAACTACCTTTCTGGGGTGCATGACTAAAGTTACATGGCAGTTGCATTGGGTGGCAAACTTTCGAAAACATGCAACAAGAAGGTCTTGTCGCCAAAATCTGTCCAGTCGAGTGTTGTCTTCACTAGTGCCTAGCATGAATTGCACATTATCTACGATAACATGTTGAATATCATGGACATACACAGCATGAGACATGGCCTAGTGAACAAAATGTTTTCAGAAATCAGTTTTTCAACAGAAAATAGCCAATGATATAACTGGAAAACTCTGTAATAGTTTTAAAATAATATTCATACAAGTGGACCACTGCAAAAATATTAATTTTTTTCTTTCTAAAAATATATAGAAGATTATAGTTTCACAGTCCAAGATATAGTTAAATATAATAATAATAAATGTGAGTTTCTATACCCTCTGTAAAATTTCCACAAAGAAAGCCATTACTTTGTACATGATGACAGAATTCACCATTAATGTTCTGATAATGAAGTCTGAATTCTTCCTCACACATCAAAATTGCTACAAAAATACATTATATTTCCTACAAATACTGTAAGGAATAATTATGGTAATATAATAGATTAAAGATTTTGCAGCAATGTTATTTGTTATAAATTTAGGTTTTTAACACCTTTAAATTTATATAGCTTACAGGGTTTTGGGATATTTTGAGCAAAAATCAGGATTTTAATGGTTTCACTGATGATATTATGTCTTTTTTTTTTTAAAGTTAGTAATATAAAAATTAATAAATTCAGAAGGTTAGAAACCACTAGAAAAGCTACAGATCTTTCATTGATAATTATCACAATCATGAGAGACAAACAAGCAACATTGTATGTCTAAAGTGCTTTGTCTAACATCTTGTACTTTATTTAACATCACACAGCTTTACTATATCATGACACCAGAAATTAAAATGTTATGAATATTAAATATGTAATATTATTAAATTTTGTGAAAGATAATAAAAGGGCAGCACAATTTAAGTTTGGGTGGTATTGAAAAGTCTACTTGTGGAAGAGAGAGACACAGCAGCTGTCTTTTTAGATTATTATTAATGGCGTCAAAATTGCCGCTTTACTTAAAAATCAATTTAGACATTACTAATCTATGCAGGTGATTAAGTTCATGATAAAGATAAGTAACAAATCTTGCATGCACACACTCATACATAAAAAACAACAACTAATATCCAACTACTTAGATAAAAAAATTTTCACTTTTAGAAACATAAATGAGGTTGGCAACATTTACAGAAGATTTGATAATTAAGTTAGTCACTTTACATATGTGACAATAAAACTTGTTAATCTGAAATACAACAAAATTAAAAACATTTTAACTGTTTTACCAGGTTAACATCAATTGCAATGAAAACAGATACAATCACATGTTAAACTGAACATTTTAAAGTTTTACTCTATTTGATTACCCAAAATAAGTTTTATCTTATTTTTTAATTAGGTACCTGACCATAAACACAACAAGGCCAATCAGACAAGAACACAGAAGTGTAACTTACATCCAAGACATTACGCATGGACTGTTGACCATGAAAAGTCATGAAATAGAGTGGAAGTTGTTCAAATTTATCTGCCAAGTGCTCATAGTGCTCGAGATTCTTCTCCAGTGGTATTCTGTAAGATCACACTATTATTTGGTTTGCTGATGTTCACTATCGCATGATTATAAGTTCACACTATTACTTGGATTCCTAATGTTCATTACCACATGATTACAGATAAAGTCAATTTTATATTGGTAAACTCTTGTTGACAAAATAAAGTGCAAATATATCTTTATGAATACCACCTACTTTTTTCTTCTGAAGTTGACAAAAACATTTAAATTTTGCACATTCTAGCAAACGGTGAATGACTGAATAACAGAGCTTAAGTCACAGAGTTACTTGTTTTGACTACTGTTAAATAACTCATAGAAAAAGAAAAGAAGAGTGAGTGAGAGAAGAATTACTTTTAACTTACTGTGCAAATTGTGTGAGCATCATTTTAGCCAAGCGAACATTCTTGATTTCAAAACTCCCCCACAGAGTGTTAACCTAACAATATAAAAGAAGGAAAAGTTTCAATTATTGAATACTTTCATTTTACATTATTATACCTTTAGACTTGACAAATGATAATGCTTTTTCAATCCATAAAAACACTTTTACACAGTAAAGTTTGTATGCAAAAGTAAGTGACAAAACTTGATATTAAAAAATGATGCACCATTTTAAAAGCATTTCTCAAAAATTAACATCTTATGGAAGAATAAACATATTCAAGAAAATTGTTTAAGGGTAGGTGACCCTTCGATATTACACGCTAAATACTATAAAAAGGCAAAGGAATATTAAAGTTCTAAACTTTTCACTGAATTGTGATACATATTTCACACTTTAAGATAGCTTCTACCTATATATATAGTGTTAGCAAAAAACTGGATCATTTATTTCCAAACACAGGAAACAACTAGACTAGATTCTAATCTCAATGTTACATATATATATATATATATAAATCAACTTCACTATATATATCTTACAAACACATTATAAATATTTGTAAATAAATCAGACACAAATGAAAAACACACACAAAATATAGAACAAGAAGGAATCACTTTAACTCGTAATATGTTAATAAATGTGGTTAATTTTACTTACTCCTTGCATGCACAAGTCTAACGAGTATTCACTCATAAAAGTTGTCTTTCCTGATCCTGTTGGACCAGTAAAAACTGTAAGTTCCCCACGTCGATGACCTTTTAATAACCGATTCAAAGCTGGGTATCGCTTCCACTGTACAGCAAAAAGAAACTACTTAGTTTTCAATAATAAACACTCATGAGTAATTAAGGCAGGCCAAATAAAACCTGTCAAAAACTGAGTTGAGGGATTTTTAAACTACTCTCAGAAATAATGTTTTATGTATTATAGATTTGCTATTATAGGACTATGCAAGAGCTAAAAATTTCTAGCTCAAGATTTAATCTACTCAGTTCAGAATCAAATATAAAAAGTGGTTTGAACTTTTGAATACTCAATTAGAAAGACTGGCTTGAAATATGGGTTTAGTATTATCATCATTATTTAGTAACTAACCCTAAGAATATGAGTGCGTCAAAGTGTGCGTATATCACAATCTTTTTACAGAGTTACATTCAAAATCTAAACTACTTTATCATCAATGCATGTTGATAAACTTAGCTAAAAACATAGTTCATAATTTAACTTTTAATAATATCTAAGTTTTAAGTTCTTAATTTCAAAAAGAAATATTTAAACAGATTCCCAATTTGCACTTTTATGAGTCACATGACATGGTGGTGCTGTGACTTATATATATGTATATATTTTTACTCATTGTTTATATGGGATTTAAATTGTTCAACCAACTAGACAGGCATACTACAGACAAGTATAATAAAAAAAAATTAATTTTTATAAAGACAAGTAGGGATCAATATATATATATATATATATATATATATATAACTTAGCTATCTACAGTAACAAAGTTTTTAAAGCTACAAAAAGTATTGAAACAAGAAAGTCTAACTACAAAACTGAGTTACTTAAAACTTAAAAAGCGTTATCCCTACTTTGGCTCAGACTAACATAATTACAGTGATTTGCAAAAGTAGGGATAAAATGTTTTAAATTTTAAGTAACTTATATATCGATCTCCACTTGCTTTTACAAAATGTAAAAATTTATTATACTTGTTTGTTCCTTTTTATTAGCTATATTTTTGTGCACCAGCAATACCAAGCATGGGGTGTGCATATACTTGATTCAATTATATTACTCATCAGAATTTATTCCAACCTGCCTTCAAATTTAATTATATGCTCAAAGTAGCACATCATCCATTTTACACACACACTTGTCTGGCAAAGTCACTTACTTAGATGAAAATTAATTGAAAGAGTGAAACTTTGATTCACTCCATAAACAGGTAGATAGTGATTTAGGTGACTTTTTAAGCACAATAAGCTTTAGTTTTGCTCAGCCAATACTGTGAAATATTCATTGTTAATATTCCGACATTTTAAGGGTGATTTTATATGGGCGATTTTTATGGCTGCCATTTTGTTTCATCACTATTAAGTATTACTGTACTTTACAATATTGACAAGCTAGGATATAAAATTCCAACTTCTTTTTGCTTTACCAAGATATCACTATAACTGTTCAACCCGCACAGACATTCCTCACCCATATCCTCCATCTTTTAAGAAACGTTTATAATTCTGTCTGACATTGCTACTAGACGTGTTTATATCCAATAGGAAGGGTATGTTTTGAAATACATAAATCAGATGGTTTTTGTTTTGTTTTAGTTCTTAAAGCTGATAGTTTGCAAGAAAAGCTTGAATTGTGTTGAGTAAAGTCATTGCTCTGACCAGTAATGGAATTTTTTAACCCATTTATAGGTTAGTTAGAAAGCCAGAGAAATTACAACAGTTTCTGGATATTAATCTAGTGAGTAATATATTGTTGTTGTTCTAAAATTCATATTTGAAAGCTACAAAAATTATCTTTGGACGACCAACATAGTGAAAAAAAAAAAAGTTTACTAAACCATGCACCAGAGTGCCTCAATGCTAAAGTAAGTGCTTGGTTTTTATGTTAGTTTTTTTATTTAATGTTATATATTTTTTATAAAAGTAACTAAAATGTAAAAATTAAAAATTTATTAGATTAGATAAGAAAACTTGTATGAAAAAATTAACACATTTTTTCATGATCACTCCTAGATGAATACATGAGATACGAGTGGTTTGACTTCATATAATGTAATCTGAAACTTGTTTGCCCTAAGCTCTCCTTTTCCTTCCAGGTGACATACTCGTCTTCATGGTACTGAAGAAAGTTGCAAAATACAAGGATAAAACTTTAAACTGTTCAAAGGTTAGAAAGCTGAAACGTTCAGAATAAATAATTGTAAATGTTTGTTACAATTTACAGTTCAGAAAAAAACAACAACATATTTTTGATTCTATTTCATATTGTTCATTTTACTGTACACAGATGAATTTGTGACAATTAGAGAAAATAATAGGTAATGTATAAAGTTTTATAAAAAACAACAACTTCATATTAATTTAAGAGGTTCTAGGAGTTATGCATATGAAATATAAAAAGTGTAAGATGAAAAAAAGTATTTATTCTTGGTATGAAAATCACCTTTCACTCAGACTGACCGAGTAAAGGCTTTGTAAATTCATAGAATAATCTTCAGTAAAATACTTTGTTAAAAAATCTTATTTTTTGTATAAAACTGACTTGTAATGTTTACTAAAAGCTTGCCAAATGTTGTTAAGATACACTTAATAAATTCAGTTATAATATGTATGGTTACATGGTTAGTCAAAATGATCAAATCTGTGATCCACCAGTATCCATAGGGTTAATCATTTTTCTTAATTATAGCCAGATGAAGTCTTGGACTCAACTTCAATAATAATAATAAAATCAAGGCTTTCTACACCCTGAGCTATTAATCTTATATGTAAGGGTTAGTTGAATATTTAAATAAAAATTCAGTAAAATACTAATAACAACTGTACCCCATATCAGGGTTAACTTTTACCAAGACTTCGAGTGCAAAAAAGTACAAGACCCACCCATAAGAACTAAGTTTATTATGCATATTAAAAGTAACTAATAGGCAAATATTACAACCTTATTAGGTAAAATAACATAAATTAACAAAAATTAAATTAAAAACTTTCTCAGAAAGATACACATGCGAGCTAAACATGCATTACCCAGTTTAATATTTTGTTTATTGTAACTTGAACTATTGTGCTCACTGGGTAATTTCTAATAAAAGAATAAAATTAAATAAAAACAAATGTAAACTGTTATGAGCCTGAGGTTGTTTAGGACAAATAATTGTAGTTTTCTGTTACAATCTACAATCATTATAGGAAGAAAAAAACAACAAAAAGAGTAATTTAGATTTATTTTGTATTTTTTTTATGGTGGGTACATAATCAATCAAATGGACAAAGCCCATAATATCATTTGGGCATTTGAGTTAAGAAATATTTTCTGGTCAGCTACTGATACTGTACATTTTTTATCTCTATTGCTAAGAACATATTTTAATATAGCGGTATACAAATTCTTTCTATTTCTTGGTCCACTGAATGAAGGGGGACTCTTAATTGGTTCTAGAGTTTCTAAAATATTTTAATACTGTTATTTTTTTTACCTTTACTCCAGAAACCTGCTCCGTGTGGCTCAACTCAGCATATACATCCTGTCGAAGATAGCTAAATGTAGTGATCGCCTTGTGAGTGATGGGTTCAGATTCCCGCAAGACTTTCAATAAGTTTACTTGACTGTGAAGTCCTTGAAGTGGTGCTGGATGTTCTTCTTTTGGTCTAATTGATGATGAACAACATTCTGTTACATTATTCAGTAAAAATTTATTTCCAAATTTACTAAAATGGTTACAACTGACTAAAAATTAAGTTTTGTTCAATCTATCATTAAAACATTATTACAAAATGCTGCACTTTAAGTACTTATTATATTTATCTGATGTTAGACATATTAATATATTATAATCTTACATTATGTTAAAAAGCTACACAGGGACAGATTGGCCTGATCGGACACCAGACAAATGTCCAGTGAACTGGTTCATTTGATACATTCTTAGAAATTGATTTTAATTTTTTTAACCAAAAAGTTTATCCATATAAATTATACAAACAATTCAAGAAAGCTTCATGTATAGCACATGCAGGTTTTTGACGAACATAAAAACTAACTAGGCTTTGTTTTATTCATTCGAATTTGATATGTAACATCATTCACTAATTTTTTATAAAGTTTTTATATAATACACTGGTAAAAATTGAAACAAGATGCATCTATGCATAGCATCACATATAGATCATACATGTACAGATAGGTAAAGGCAATAAATAATATTTAATTTTTATTGACTGATTAAATTAACTGGATTTTGCATTACATATTCTACACTGAATAACAAGAGTAATATTTTGAACCAATAGTTGTTATTTGTATAGGATTAGTAGAACACCTCATATAGTAACTTGATAATATTCTTTTCACATATAATTTTCTAATTCTTATTTCTGAATTTTAGACTACAAATGGAATGTAAGTGAAAAGGGGAGCCGAAAAAAAAAGAATAAAATGTTAGAATCTGCAGCAAAACAATGTACAAAATTTATAGACATTTTTTCCAGTGTGACAAGCAATACTTCAAATAACTTCTAGTCACATTGAAGAAATAACAACTAATCACAAAATGGTAAGTGAGCAGACAAGTTTATTGATTCATCATGAACAAGTTGCAGAAAGTGATTCTATAACCTCAGAGGTCATAAGCAACTCTAAAATCTCAGAGATTTCCAACATTTAGAAGTAATAGGATTGGGAACCAATGCTCATAACTATATTCAGCATACATCACAAAAGGGCTTAAATTTTAAATCTTGTATTGGTTGATGCTACTACATCTTCCATATCTGCAGAATCTCTTTTCAGCCTTATCAACTCAATCACAGTATTCTTTAAAGAATCCACTAGGAGAAAGGATATTTGGACTGAGATAGTGGATGAAAATTGACACAGGCAATTATAAATAATCAGTGAAAATGGTGTGCAAGGAAATCAGCACTAAACGGAACTTTTGGGTCATATCATGCACATCAAAATAGAATGTTTATGGAATTAATTATAGAAGTTCAAAATAATAAAGATGGATATCAGATTGAAGGAATAGACTTTCAAAGTATCTATCTTAAAGAATTATATACTGCTTACTGCATACATAATCTTTGGATATTTTGAATGATAACACCATTATCAAAATATCTGTAGACAAGTTGCTTGGATCTCTTGAAATGTCACCTGATGATGATGACCACCATGAATGAGCTCAAAACCATGTTACAGGATATTCAAGGTGTCACATTAGCAACAGATAATTTTATCAAAGGAATAAATTCAGAACTTGATGATAAATATCCACAATTAGAACTCAAACTGCAAGAAAGATTTCTTGAAAAATTAACAAAAAGAGTCAAACAAATATCAGGTGAACTCTCTCACAATGAACCACTCAAGGACACAATGGAAAAATGCACAGTGGAGGTACACAACATAATTAATGGGCACTGTTATTCAGTGTTTCTCAGCCAGATGAATCCCACCCCTTAATCACTACAAGGAAGAAAAACGTTTTGATGTTTCTTGATGCAGTTCATCATAATTTATAACAAAGGTGATATGTGCACCTTAAGGACTCTCAAAAAAAAAAAAACCTCACCATTTGAGAAACACTTCTGTAATTGAAAGTATGCAGTGTTGCTTCATGAAGAATGGATCATTACATGTGGGTCTTTCTCTACTATCACTCAACATTTTTCAACATGTCACTAAGAGAATGCTTGAAAATTCACTTCAGATGTTGAGTGAGAAAAATTTTTCGTTTAATATCAAGGTCACAGAAATTAATCTCCAGCTCAGAGGGAACACTGCTTGTAAGTTGTGCAAAAATTGCAGCATACGTTGCTGTCAAATCTTGAAAAAGTACAATTTGCTCATAAAAAGCATATAATGTCTTAGGCACAACATACAAATACTAACTCTGCCAGTTGATTACTGCTCCATTTGCAGGATCAAAATGGTTATTTCTGGTATATTAAGTTATCTATTGAGCTCTATCTTGATATTCATAGCTGGCGAAAACTTTAACACTGAAGCAAGCCCATACATCTATTAGGCCACTATTAGTAATATTGCTTGTACTAGTCCTTTAATTCCAATCTGCCCCTGATGTTACATCTCAAGTGACATATATTATAAGGCTCACTGCTTCAGCTAGGACTGTATAAGAATTAAAAACACTTAAATCTACAGTTCTGTCCTAGTGCTTAGTCTCTGGTCTAAGGTAGACCAGGTGACATTTTCTGTGTTGTCAATCTTAATCTTTTTCCATTACAAAAAAGTCTGTACCTCATTGTGTTATTTGGGTTTGTCTGTATACCCATATATAAGTGGATAATTGTAACACAAGTGATTACGAACGAATTGTAGTTCCTTTACAAAACAATGACACAAAAACTAATTGCGTATTCTGTAAAAAAAAAAGAACAGTATAAATCAGATTTGTAAACAAACTTTAATATATGACCAAAATTGTACAAATTTCTCTTAAAAATTTACATACAAAACTTAATACTTGGAGTGAGAAATCCAATATTATTACAGGTTATTGAAAAACATATGTTCTAATTTTTAAAAAAATTCATGCATGAGAACAGACAAGGGGGAAAACAAAAGGCTGAAAAACTGAAGGGCCAAAGCTCCCATACTTTCAACAAATTAGATGAAAAACTGACATCTTAAAAAGAAAACAATTTAATGTATTTCCAAGTTACACACTTATTAATGTCTTTGACTCTATCCTCAGTTGTTTTTTATTCTTTTTTGCCATACCTTTTTTATAATTCATCACCTTAAACGCATGATTTCCTACTATAATTAATATAATGCAAGCACCCACTATATTTGTCATATAAGACAGTCAATGACTTTAAAACTGAGAGGGTGTGATTTACATCACAATGACACAAAATGTTGAATGATATTTTCATTTAGTAATAAAATTAAATACCATTTACACTGATAACATAGGCCTGCGATGGTTTTATGGTCTTGAAATTTTTACAAGCTCTACAGTGATTCCTGTATGCTGAATCCGAAAATGATATCCATTTTTCTCTATCATGTACAGATTTTTCACAAAACATCATAACGCAATACATAAAAGAAAGACTGTAACACGTAGTTTTGACACTAAAAGAAGCAGATTTCACAAAAAAA